AATAATAATAATTATCATTATCATTAATACTATTACTATTATTATTATTATCATTATTATTGTTATTATCATTATCATTATTATTATCATCATTATTATTATTATTATTATTATTATTATTATTATTATTATTATTATTACTATTATTATTATTATTATTATTATTATTATTATTATTGTTATTGCTATCAATATTATTATTATTATTATTATTATTATTATTATTATTATTATTATTATTATTATTATTACTATTATCATTATGATGATGATGGTGATGATTATCATTACTATTATTATTACTACTACTGTTATTATGATTAAGAATATTATAATTATTGTTATGGTTTTCATTAATATCAATATTACTATTATTGCTGTTGTTGTTGTTGTTGCTGTTGTTATTGTTGTTGTTACTGTTATTGCAATTATTATTGTTATCATTATTATTATTATTATTATTATTATTATTATTATTATTATTATTATTATTAATATTATCATTATTATTATCATTATTATTGTTATTATTATTATTATTATTATTATTATTATTATTATTATTATTATTATTATTATTATTATTATTATTATTTATAGATATATATTATCATCATCATCATAATTATTTTACTGTAAGCATTACCATCACTGTTATTATTGTATTATCAAATTCTTTACATGTATATTTTTTTTTCGTCTTTCCTCTTACTCCTCTTTCATCTTCTCTTTCTCCTTCCCCTACCTCCTCTTCCTCCCCGTTCGTCTCCCGTGCCATTCCCCATCACATGCAACGCAACGCAATCTTTACTATTACGTCACTGGCTACGTCCCAAAAAATAGATATGATTTCGCCTTTTGTTTCCTTTTTACGCTGACTGTTGCTGAGTTTTGGAGAGGGGATGACTTTGGGATCATCGGTGTCTTAGGTGTGGTGGTGGCGAGATGCGTGAAGGACTGTCCATAGTAAAGCCAATGAAAGGTTCCGAAAGGTAGATTTGAGGAAACTTTTGGCAGGTACTCTGGTTGTTTGATGCTTTTGCTTGTGATGATTTATGTGGTGCACATTTGGACCATAATTGCTATTTGTGTAGAATTGCCCTGTTATTTAAGCCGAGTTCCGCGTCATGGGTGATCTTTACACATGGCGGGGCCTCGATAGATGAATAGATGGGAGTAGATGGATTCTTATTGGCAGTACAGTTCAGATATAGTGATAATGATTTCGGAGAGCAATAGATATTTTTGGCCCCTGTAGCTTGGGAGAACGTGGTAGAATCACAAGGAAAAACATATAGTGCAACACCAAGCCTAGTATATTGAGGCCAAAATCACTATAGTCAACCACTTTATTGCTGTGATGTCACTGGGCACACTGTCACTGATAAAATTACAGGTGGTGTATATAGTCCATGTGTATTAGTTTTTAGAACACATAGATGAACAATAGTGATAGCATTGGTGATACTCAGAGTGGCATAGCATCCAGTCATCGCTATGCCTCCAATTCTTAGGAGTTGAGGGAAAAAAACAATAAACCTCAACTATACAGCTGTAAATCTTGGAGGCCTCCTAGGACATTTATCTCCTCACAAGGAACCAGACCAGACTCTGCCTTTCCAGGATATGTATCATGGAGGATGGCCACAAAGTCATTGATGAGGCACCATTTATATGGCAGCATCAGTTGTCCCGCTGCCACTCTCATGGAAGCTCACTCTACCATAACTCTCCTATAATGAGGTTTCCATAGAGTGTAACTGTTATAGCTGGACTGTAGATATCATATGCAGTCTGTAGATACCAAATTTATTAGTATTCTTCAGAAATCTTCATTATTTTGTGAAGAATATTTTTCTGCTTCTCTGTTTTAATATTGTTTCCATAATAGATCACTTTGGCAATGTATTAACCCATTGGATCCGGGTGCCTCATGGAAACACGTGACCCAATATGCAGGCGATAGGCTTCTTTGAGTGGCGACTTCCCTGGCTTGTGGGCCCAGCTCTCACGATCTCTCATTCTTGGCATCAAGACTCCATGCTTCTTCTTTGTAGTGTTATTAGCCCTTTTTCTGTAGAAGCATTTTTGCTGTTTTACCAATTTCAGAGGCTTATATTTTTCATTTTTTATGCTATATTAGTGTGTCTCCATATTATCTCTCAAGGTAGTTTACACTGCAGTGTATTAACAGCATCAATAAGTAGCATTGTATTACTTGTATTGTTTTTTATACTTTCATATTACATTTTCCGGTCACACCCAACACTGCCAGTGATGGAAGGCAGGAAAAGGTTAATGCATGTGGCCAGAGTGTCCTTCTTGAAGACATCTCTCTCCTGGCATAGTTGACTGATGGTAAACTTTATCATCGTGGGCCGTTGGAAATCAGACACGCGTAACACTGTCATCTCACTCCAAGTGCTTTGTGTATTCGTGACAAGACATCTCCATCACTTGATACTCAGCAAGAATTTCCCCTTGCTGTATGCTGTGTGGTGCAGCGGTAGCGATCTTGTTTAGCAACCTTGCTGACCTGCATTCAAATCCCTTGCCGCCAATGGATGGTAACCCTGGCCATACCTTGAACACGAGATAATTTAGAAGCAAAATGAAACAGACAGCATGTCACACCAAGAATATTTATTGTAACAAATGGAATCAAACTAAATTATTATTATTATTATTATTATTATAATTATATGTCCCCTTTACTGCCCCACAGCTAATTTTTTTTCTGCCTGGATCCAATGAGTAATTTGCTACATGCAAATAAGGGGGACCAGCTAACATAATCTAATATGAAGTTTTTTTTCGCAGACATGATCAGGAAATGAGGTACTAGGAAGCGTGTTTGGGCTTAAAGGTGCTGTCAGACTTCCCACACCTCTTACAAGTCATCCCGCATAGTGCCTGAGGTTGAAATTGGCATGTATGCTGATAGCAGTGAGTAAAAATGTTAAACCTAATACTATTTCCATCTATGACAGAATGCCCTTGCAACTTCAACACTCTGGGAAAGGCCAACAAACCTTCCCCACATATATTCGGCTTGGTCTGGTTCTTTATTTGACAGCAAATCACCAGAGTAGTCTAAAAGCTCTACCTCACCAAAATACACATAGTGTAGGTTTATTGCTCTTTTGCCTGAGTTTCATAGGCAAAAGGGACACAGTAAATGCTTGAGTTACTGTAGGGCTTAACTATCCTTTCTGCAGACTGTATTCTTTAGCTGATAGTGATATTTCATGTTTTCTGTAGGGGTTAGTCCAGCCACTCTATTCTTTCTTTGCTATTACTGACTATTTCTATAAGGAAATATAAGGTTTCTTAAGATTTGAATTTATTAAAACTAAACCCAGCAAGGAAAGTTAATCATGATATTTGTTCTTATTTTCTTCTCTAAAAGATTTTGTAGGAAATTGACTGGTTTCCTGAAGTGATGTCTAGTTGCCTTGTCCTACAAGCCAAACAAAAATATGGCATTTGTGCTCCTCTTATCTACCTTGCATTGCACCTGGAAAGCCAGACATGCATTAGAATGACAACTGGAATTTCTTTTACATATAGTAAAACTTCACTAAGCCATTAACAGCTAGTACCATGAAACTGTCCTTTCATATGATTGGCCTGTGGATTCAAGGCTAGTTTTTGTTATTGCTAGTTTTTGTTTTTTGTTATTTTATTGAATAATTTAACAACTAGTTTTTTTCTGATAGATGAATATTTTTCACTCATATGCATATTGAGTCAGATTCAAGTAATTGTTTTAACCCAATGCCACCAGGATTTTTTTTTCTCTTTTTTTTTGTAGCTATCTATGTGTAAAAACAATTAAACAAGTAAATTCACAGTGGTCTTGGCATGTACATACATGGGTTAAGGGTTATATTTCTACATTAGATATCAGATACTACCATAGAAGAATGTAGTCTTGAATGGTATCATTCCATCCCCAATTCTTTAACTGCCTTGAAATGCATAATGTTAAAAGAAATCATAGACATTTTCTCCTTAACAAAAGGTGTACTTCACCCACAGTTTAGTTATTTTTGTGGAAGTTTCAAACTAATTTCAAGACCTCTTTCTAGCTTCCCCTTTAGATCTTAACCCATAGCTGCTGGGGAAAATGAATAAAAAATGAGGAAAATACTGTGATCTTCTTTTTTTTTTTTTTTTTTTTTAATGTCTCTACACATAGATGGCTCTTGAATTGGCGGGAAAATGTATTTTTAATAGTGCTATGAATATTGATGCCGTTATTTTTATTACAAGCATTATAATTACTATAATGTTGTAAATATTAATAATAGCAGAATAAGATAACGTAATTTTTTTTTGAAAATTAAAGAAACGGGTGAACGGGCAAGACAGGCAGTACTTGTAACTGGCTCATTGGTGACTTAGTACAAGTGTAGCCATCTACGTGTTAAAACAAACAAGTAAATTCACAGTGGGCATGGCATGGCATGCCCGTTGGTAATGGGTTAACTTACATCCTTGGTAATTTGCTCATCTGTCCTATTAAAAGAATTTTACCTTCTCCTGCTTCACTATTGAAAAAAATATATAAAGTACTAAAGAAAAAAAACTATTCCTATGCCTTTCTTTCTTTGTTGTGTTTATTCCACTATTTGCTGCCTAATACTCACTATTGTGAAGCTTAACTGTTCATTGATATTTTTGCATTATTCTGGTTTTATTTCTGCATGTATATGTATGTTATTTCATAAGAACATATATTATCAGTGAAACCTTTTAAAAAATATGTTTATATTTAAATGTTTAAAACCTTTGGCAAGACACCTCACAACAACCTGAGGCTATGTCCCAAGCGCCAGAACGTGCGACTGAGAGCTGGGCAATGCACCTGTGTTCGACATTACCAAAATATTTGCCTCTTGCTTTTGGGTTAAATCAGGAAACATTATTTGTTCGTTTGTTTCATGAGGTTTATATCAATCTTGTATAACTAGAATGAAAGCAGGTCAGTCTTTTTATAAGAAAGTATGGAGGAATAATTTTGTTTCTTATTCCTTTTTTGAAGTAGATTACCATCATTTTTGTATAGTAGCTCAGTAATGTTCTTGAATTTTATCCAGACAGATGATTAATATATTTACATTGCTTCTCTTTTATACTTTCTAATGCATATCATTGTTCTTGCAGATAATGGAGCAGAAGTATATGGAAGATATTGCACAATTTTTATATGATATGAAATGGGTATATGATTTTCATGTTACAAAGGTATGTATGTCGTGTAACTGTATGGGCTAACTTTAGAATTTAGAGGCATTGTCTTTTTTTAGTGATTGCAGTTGTATAAGTTATAATACATTCTTAATTGAGTAGGATATGATGCAATCTTAATTACAGTCCAAAGAAAAAAAATACTCAAATAATTTTTTCCTAATATGTTCAAGACTTAGATAGGCATTTTTAGGAACTTTTATGGATTAAAGGCAGTAAAGAAGAAAACAATTAATATAGATTGCACAGTGGGCTTGCTTTCTGGAGTCATTATTATTGTGTTATTCCCTTGTAGACCACCAGGACTGTTATAGTCAGAATATTTGCATATTGCCTCAACCTTATATCAATTAAGATTCAGATTATTGTAATGGAGACATGGCATTTGGATCATTCTTTTCAGATTTTCACAAAAGACATCTTTTCACAAATGCCTGAGGACTGGAAAGCAAGTTTACTCAATCTACCAGTTCATACTTTAAATGGAATTCCTCAGGGAAAAACTCAGGTAAACAGGTTCTTTGTTTTTTATGATGTATATGAAAAAGTATTTGACTTGTAACTTTTCTAAGTTGTTATGAAAGTGTGTTTCAGAAGAAAGTATGGCAAACCTGAGTACCACAAAGGGGATGGCCATTTTAGGGTTTTTATTAATCATTTATAAGAAGAATGGATATAGAAAAATCATGAGCTACAAGAGCAGTCACAATTCGTTTTAATCTTGTTATACTTACAACATAAGAAAATATAGAGTAATTCCTAATGAGTGACATATTATTTCTCTCTTATTTGCTGTTTTCTCTAATCAACAGGATGACTGGCCACTCTCTTTGCGAGTCTTTTTAGAGAAATGCCAGAAGTTCTCCTTGCAGACCCTAACCAGAACAAGCTGTGAGGATGAGCCTGAGGACGTTACAGGAAAAGTGCCTCAGACTTTCACTAAAGGATTATCTGAGAAAAAGAGACATGAGGTTCTCCGTCTTTCAAAACTCACAGAGAGAATAGCAAATGTAACGGGTAGTAATTATGTCCTGGATATTGGCAGTGGATTGGTAAGTTTATGTCGTATTTGCAAATAGGATTTTAGGATGTAAATTAATGGAGTGTATTGCAATATCACAATCAATTTTAGGACTTTTTTTTTTCTTTTTTCTTTTTTTTTTAGGAGAAAAAAAATAATTTTGTATTTGTCATTTACCCTAGGTATCCTTTGGGAGAATTATACTTATTTCTACTTCCTTTCTTTTTTCATTCTTCTTTTCCAGATAATCAGTCAGTGCCAGGCTGAGGCATAAAGTGATACCTAGTTACATAAAAATTTCATGAAACATTAGTTCTGGATGTTAAAACAAAGAGTACCTTGTTTTTTATAGATTCAGTTTTTAAATTGTTAATATAAAATTCTTGTTGTTTTTATTTTGTCTAAATATCTGTCTTTAGATGTCAGTATTCTACCACAGCAATGTGAAACAGATATTACAGTAGGTAATAGCATAAATAATTTGGTTTTGTATTTCTTTCAAGTTAATGCTGTTAAACAATTTTGTATTTTTGTTTTTGCAGGGTTATATCGATTCTATTCTTCACCATACACTCAAGCTCACTGTAGTTGGTGCAGAGAGTCTGAAAGACCGTGTTAAAAGTGCAACAGAAAGACAAACCAGGCTATTCAGTAAGTGCAGTGGTGTAAGGCACATTCACTGGGAACTCACAGATGATGAAGAAACCTTAATAAGAGTACACAGGGAAGTGGTAGAGATGATGAAAGCTGATGTAACATGCACTTGTAAAGAGGAGAAATTAGAAACCAGGAAACCCTTAGAGAACCAGCAGTCTTCAGTTCCAGTCAGTAATGTGACAGATACTTCTCAGGAGGATCATCACGTGGAAGAAAATTCCTCTGTGGAAAAATCAGCAATACTGATTGGCCTTCACTCTTGTGCAGACCTCTCTCCAATAATGCTGAAGGTGTTCCAAGGCTGCCCTCAGCTCTCATCATTAATTCTGTTTTCATGTTGCTACCACAAGCTGACTCCTGAGAAGTTGGCAATGGAAGGAAACCAAAACAATAAAGAAAATTGTGTTGGTGTTACAGATGAAACAGTGGGCACAAATTTTGGTGCCCTCAGAAAAGGAGAACAATGTCCATCCTTTCACACCAATGAGGAATCGAGAGTTTGCAAATTCATGAACTTCCCTCTGAGTAATGGTCTGAAAACAATTCTTTCACAAAAGAAAATCAGCTTCAGCACTTTTGGGTTGAGGTTGGCAGCTCAGGAGTCAGGCCTGCGTTGGGTACAACAGACGGAAAAGGAACATGAAACCCACAGAAACAGTGTGGCTTATAGAGCTATCCTGGAAGCAGTTTGTGACAGAGGTATAGTGACATAGTGTTACACTCTCCATGCTATTTACTGTGACAGTTTTATAATGTATGGTCAAGAGTTTTTGTTTTGTTTGTTTTATATTCAAAGTGAGTAGGTAAGTCAGTTCTCCATTTAATATT